TTTTAACTTTCCTGAAAATTGTGTAATAAAGATAGGTAGAGAGTTTAGTATGCATATGTGAAGCTTTAACGTCAACCCATTAAAATAATGATTATAATAAGACAATTCTAGAATTCCTTATTAATTAATGTCTTTAAGAAAGCAAAATATAAATTTGACTCTACTAACGTAACTATTAAAGGCTTGTAGAAACAATTTGACAAATTAATAACAATTTTCATTTTTGAGTGGTAATTATGATTAGTTAAGAAAAATCAAAAATTAAACTCAATTGAACTAAAATTTTATACAAAATTTGCTTTATAAAGAATTTTCAAGATAGTTTTAATTGCATGGTAAACTTGAATTGAGATTTTGTTTTTACCAAAAAAGCTTTTCAGGCATAAACAACACAAATATAAAGGATAGGGTCTCTTAATTATCTATTTTTTCAAAATAATTTGTTTCAGTCTGGTCTTTTGTTGCACTTGATAATAAAAAAAACATTGTGATAATAACAGTATAGAATATACCAGGTAAAAGAATGAAATTAAAGATCTTGAAAAAAATTTGTAGCTCTTTTTCAATCTGGAAACATAATTATTAATGCACAATTTAAATCGTTTTTTCGTGATACATCTGCGTGTCTGAAAGATATTGTATGGAGAGAGAATAGTTTCAATATATTGCTGTCTTTCCAATAAAAACAAGAAGGAAATAATACAACTAAAATCATTTAGGACAATTTAGATATTCTGCGGTGTCTCTATGTTACAAAATAAGTCATTAATTAGTTTTTGTGTCAAGAAATATGAGATATGAAATCAAAATGAACATCATAATTAATTAATTCTCATCATTATATTATAACTGCAACAAATATAGCATCATTCTTAGTAGATTCTCGCTTGACTAATTGGAAATTGGAAGTAAGATAATCGTGCCATGTATTATATATTATGCAAATCAGATTGTATAAAAAGTTGTTAGAAATAATGAAAGGGCCATAACTTATTACGAATTGTAAATTTAAAAAACCTAATCTGTGCTAGTAAAAATGGAAAGAAGAACTCCGTTCTTCGAAAATTTCATGTTTAGTGTAGTCGAGAAAAATGATAGTCTTTTGAAATTGTTTTATAATACTTGATGGTATGCAAACATGGCGAGTTCGATGCCCACAATTTTGCTATTTATGTTTTTTTTTTTTTTTTAAATTTCTTTGTGTATTTTTCTTTACTTCTCTTTATCATGTTTATAATATACATAATTTCAGAAATTTATGTAATTATAAATAATATTACACCTTGAAAGTATCTCGGGAAAAGACAGACATTCCTAAACTATAAACTATTTTTATTAAATCAAATTCATCTATTAGATGCTTGTTTTATTTTATAGATTTTCAAACTATTTTCTCTCAGAATGAGAGTATTGAACAAATAAAATGATTGTCATGTAACAAACTATTAAAATACAACACTTGTCTAAAAATAATAACATACATGAAGTTTGATCTTGAATATAAAGGTACATGTATCTATGAAACATATGGAGCTAACAAACAGTATTCAACATCATAATTCCATTAAAAAAATTAAAAATATGAACAGAGCAAACACGGACCTCCAAAACATCTGAGGTGGGATAAAATGCCATGAAGAAGTGAGCATCCCTTGCCGACCGGTCACATCCCCATATGTGCTCCTTGTCATGATTGGGAAATAACGGGAAAATCCGTGGTCAATTCAGTGTGTAAATAATGGATTAACAATTAGAATGAAAAATGTCAGTCAGCTTTTGACTCAACAATAACTTGTATTTGCTAATAAGGTCAGTGTATCGACCATGTAACATACGAAATGATGATTTAAAAGGGAGAGCTGGTTTTCTTGATTCATAAAACAACTTGAAACTCTATGAATATATTTAGTCCATTGATTTGTTATTGCTTTGTTTTCTGTGTGTAAAATTTTGGATACACTACAAAAAATGGAAAATCACTTTTATTTGATTGAAATAAAATATCCCTGTGGATCATGACCTTATAAATCTAGAATCGTCGGACTGGCCTGTGCAGCCTCTGTATACGATGTGTTTATATTGATTAAATTAGCCTGCGTATTAATATTTTTACATTTCAAAATTAAATAGATTATGACATGAGATAATGATGAACTTAATATAAATATCAATGCACAAGGCTGGACAGTGTCACTGTAGTATGATTTAAAAAATAAGTGTGGGAAAATGAACATTTTATAAAAATTAAAAATCCATGTACATGTAGTGATGATCATGTACTAGTATTCGAAGTTAGCTATACGTCAGACAGGCTCGTGCATTTTGCAAATACAAAATATTTTGCACCTTTAATGTTCATAAAATAATATGCATCGTTTAAATTTTTGTAGGTTTACTAAATCACGTTTCCCATTGCGTGCTTTAATAAGAAAATAGAACATTAAAATTTTGTCCACGGACGTTTTGGACAACCCTCATAAAAAATATACAACCTATGAATGAAATACGGAGATAAAGAAAAGTGTATTACATGTAGGAATGTCATGAATTCGTAATATTTTCTATACTATATATATGGCATTAGCTACAAAAATCATGATTATTTGTAGTACAATGCTCTACATTAATTCACAAATGTAAATAATTATAACATTATTGGGGTTAATGAATGTTAATAAACGAATCAAAAATATATTCATGCTCAAGACAGTAATTATAGCTGCCAAATAAGATTGTAAAGATTGAATTCTAGTATATATAATTACATCAATCATATGTATACATATGTTTTTTTCTTAATTATTTTCCCTATTATTCGTAGTTGTCCAAGTGGCTTTCATATGGTCGAATAATCAGGTATTTACTAGCAAATCGATTTGAATTATGTCTTAAAATGGTGGTATCTAGTGGATGTTTCTAAAATAAAATCAATTCAATCTCCTATTGAAAAAAAAAAAACAGTGACTTTAACATAGTTCATATGACTTGATGCATTTGAGAACACTTCCCATTCCTTTATAATTTTGATGTAATGATAGAAAGGTTACAATATCATAAATTTAATGGATGTACTCAAAGAAATATTGAGAGAACAAACAGTTTTTTGGGAAACAATGGGCAAATAATGAAATAGAAATTAATTTGGAAAAAGTCCATGAGCATAAAACCTTATGATATACATGTACATGTATTAAAAATGTGTTGTATTGTTCCTATTACGCAGTGATGTTTAAGTGGTTAGATTACCGAACACTACTTTTTCGATTAAATTAAATAATATCAATTAAAAAAAGATTTGTCAGACTGTTGTGTGAGTAATCGTTTATTTCAAGCACACCTGGGTAAAACGCGTAAATGTCGTGTTGAATGCCACAGTAAGTTTTTTTTCTTCTTTTCACGCATACGATTTTGCACAAATTCTGCTTCATATGAACACAAAAATAGGTCTGCTTATACCGGAGGATTGGTACCCATGGGGATTCTAATAGATTGTTGGAAGACCAGGGGCCCGTTTTACAAAAGGTCGTAAGTCGTAGACTTGGTCGTACGACCGAACTTACGACATGCGACCGTTTTACAAAGATTTGAGACTTGCGAGTTACGACGAAAATCGGTCGTAAGTCTACGACCACCTGGGGGCTGTCGGAAGTCGTAAGTTTTGTCTCAAAGGTGTTTTATAAGTCGTTGTTACTATGGTTATTAAAATTATTCATCATGGCTGCTTTCCTTATTCTTGATGCTTTTAACAAGATGCACAAAAAGAGGGGTTTGAGGGTTTTTCGAGACAGAAACAACCCAATGGACTATCTGTCAGACGCCGAATTGATTGAAAGGTATCGGTTGCCTAGGCAATACCTTTTCGATGTTATTGATTTAGTGCGGGATGATGTTCAAAGTCCGACAAGAAGAAGCCATGCTGTTCCCGCAGAAATACAAGTACGTACCTTTAATATCATGTCCATTCATTCATTACACTACATAAAATGTACGTCACTTCCTGATTATTTCGTCATCATTTTGTGTGAATGCCACACAGGCACGGATCAAACAATTTATAAGTGGCAGGTGCGTGTCAAATAAATTTGGGAATTACACTCCGAAGATAGGCCAACAGACTTTTCCTAATACTTATAATTACAACTTTTCTTTGTGTTAATAAATTTAGGTATACACCATAGGCGTTGGAACTGGGAGGGGGAGCGGTGTTCCCCCCCTACTTTTTTTTTAAAACAAATAATATACATAATATAGGCATTGAAATTTGGGGTCTACCTTTTTTTTTGTGGGTTTAACCCCCCCCCCCCCCCACACACACACACTTTCAATTTGCTTCCGACGCACCATATGAAGCATTTACTATCAGTGTCATAATTGTTAAAAAGAACCAACCTGAGAAGATTTTTTTAGAGATATTTAGAGACTTATTAAAATGTATATGAATGTCTTCAACTTCGCCTGAAATCTAAACAATTGTTGGTATATAATTATTTTCCTGTATAAAACAAGAGGCCCGTTTTCAAATTAGCTCACCTGTCTTAGTATATATGCCTTTTAAATACACACAGTTTAATATGAGGCCCAGGGACCTTATAGGTAACCTGTGCATCAAGCAACAATTTTCTAACGATTGAAGTTGGTTCATGTTTTAAACCAGTGGTTGGGAAATTCCAAAATTTGGAAAGATGCACAATTGCTCATCATAATTATACACTAAGCATGCTTAGTTAGGTTACTTAATACCCTTAAACATAATAGGGGAACAAAACAATGCATTTCAACTAATCAGTAATATTCAGCAATAATCAGGAGTGCTCCTACCACATATGAAACTCTGTCCCTGGAGCGACATATTTCAGATAGATCCTCATAAATGTTTTAAATAATACCAAGAAACAGATTTTAAAGCATAAATTCATATATAGAGAGAGGGGTAGAAATTTTTATAAAATGTTAGTTTAAGCAAATTTTCTGAATTGATAGGATTACTGGATAGATTATATCACAAATGTATCATCCATATATAATTTATGTCATAAAAGTGTAACAGGCCCGGGGGTCTATATTGGTGGGGGGGGGGGGTCCTGTCCTCAAGCACATGTGACTCTGGGGCCATAAAATTCTTTGGTAGAAAACTCATTGCTTATCACATTCATACTAGCAGTTTGTCTACTTGATATCCAGGGAGTAAGAAGAAGATTTTTTAACAATTGCATTAATTTTAGTGTTTTTCTGCCCCAATCCTCAGGCCCCGTTGATTTTTAAAATCAAACCGAGTTAAATATTGTAAAATTGCTGATAAATTAAGAAAGAGAATTTTTTTAAAGAAAACATGATTACATCAAAAATGCCTTTATACAAGTCTGACAAGATCTACACTTAATATCTATGCACATAACATGATCTGGTTACAAATATGAAATTCAATTAACAGGTTTTGGCCACTATAAGATGCCTTACAAAAGGCATTTTTTACTCAGAGTGCGCAAACTTGCATGGAATTTCAAAGTCCAGTGTATGTGTTGCGATGGACAGAGTTCTTACATCCCTTTGCCATCACCTACAGAACATCAAATTTCCATCTGGTGGGGAAGAAATAAGAAGATCGAAAACAGATTTCTTTGGCAAGGCAGGTTTTCCCAATGTTCTGGGGGCAATTGATGGCACTCTCATCAAAATACAGGCCCCATCAGAGAATGAGCCCAGCTACGTCTGTCGGAAGGGGTTTCATGCCTTAAACGTTCAGGCTGTTGCTGATGCCTCTCTTAGGTATGGATAGTCTATAAAAACATAAAATAACCCTTGAGCAAGAGAGAGTTTTTTCAATACATGTACATCAATTATCAGATACCGGGTATTGATTTTTAATAGTTTGATTTAATGTAATGGCTATTTTAATTTATAATTTTGCAGATTTACCGATTTGGTATGCAAGTGGCCTGGGGCCGTTCATGACAGTTTTGTCTTCAAGAACTCAAACTTAAATAACATCTTGAGTCAAGGTTGCAGTGGCTGGCTTTTAGGAGATTCTGGTATAAAAACATAATACTTGAAATCGCATGTTTTCATCAGAGAATTATCCATCTCTTTACCTCATTCATTAAGAAGTGTCATTGCGTTCTAGGATATCCTTTGAAGTCATACCTTATGACTCCAGTAAATAACCCTAAAAACCAACAGGAAGAGAACTACAACTCTTCACACTGCAGAACCCGTGTTGTGGTGGAGAGAGTATTTGGTGTGCTCAAGCCTCGATTTCGGTGAGAAGAATTCTAATGACACCATATGTGTAAAATATTATGAAATATTTTCATTCCTCTATAGGCCACATTTTAGGCAAAAATTATTTCATTGGTTGTAAGGCTTTTTTTCAAAAAATATGATGAGGGAGCTTTTTTTTTTTACCTTTTATTGCCCCAAAAACATGATGAGTTACCTTTGTACAAAACCTCAAAAAATGATGAGGGGGGTGATTTGTTTGGTTAAGCAATGAAAAGGGTCAATGGGGCACCCTTGGAAGAGATGAGGGAGGGCCTGAGAACCAAGAATTTAATTTTTTTTTGCCTTTCAAGTACGTACTAGCATATATAATTTTTACATAGGTGTTTACATCCAACTGGTGGTGTACTACTCTTCAGCATACAGAAATGTATTCACACCATTGTGGCATGTTTCAAGCTGCATAACAAATGCATTCAGGATAAAATACCTATCCCTGATGTGGACTGTGATGCTGACACCCAAGATGAAGAGGTCATCAACAATCTTCAAGTAAATGCTGCAGGAAATCAGATTAGACAGCGAGTGATACAACTTTTTTGAAGCTGTCAATATGACTTACATGTGTGTCCCAAGATCTACAGCATAAATGCACATGTATTACAAAAAGAATTTCTCAGCAATTTGATGCTATGGAAGCTTAACAGTTTATATTAGACACCATTGGTACTCAATGATGAGAATACATAATGAAAGTATTTACCAGCATCATAAATGTGCATTTTACAGTAAAACTCATTTAGCAAGATCATAGACAAAGTAAATTTTAGGATATAACAATTTTTTGGATCACTGAGAAAATTAATAACAATTCATGGTAAATCATCAATGTGATAATGAGCTCTAATATAATGAATTTATGGAAATTAATTTTTCTGGAATATTTATTTTTTAACTAGGTGAAACATATTCTTGCTTATATACATGCTTATTAGGACAATAAATGTTAATTGACAGGAAGACAAAAATAGTGTCTCTTATTATTCCCTCCTCCCTCCCCCAAAGTATTGGTAGTTGGTGCAATTATAAAACAAGAGGCCTATGGTCCACAAAAACACTTACCATATAAAAGAGGTCAATATTGTACCATCCTCAAAATGTCACAGGTTTGTGATTTCTCGAACTACACACAAACATTTGTGTGGAGTTTGAGAATCACAAACCCTTGAAATTGTCAGGATGATATTGTACATGTAAAAATTGAGGGGCAGACTACAGGTACATGTAATAGGTGGACAGAAAAGCTCACTTGAACCTTCAGTTTCATGAGCTAAACAAGAGATTCAGGGGTCACATTTCTCATCTGAGCACATAAGCTAGGGAAAAAAATAGAAATTTAATCAATTATTGAAAAGTATAAATCTAACCAATCACTATTTTGCTATTCATGAGAAGAAGATTTTACCTATGTATTCTTATGCAACACATTGATTACTCATTGTAGCCCCACTCTACCCCTTTGGGTCATGATTTGAACAAACTTGAATCTACACTACCTGTGGATGCTTCAACATGAGTTTCATCTTTCCATGGCCCAGTGGTTCTTGAGAAGATTTTTTTGAATGATGCCATTAATTTTTCACTATGTCTCGCCGAAAGAAAGAGTGTTAAAATTTCAATCATCTGCAATAAGTAGTCGCTGTGAAAACTATGATGAAAATTTGGTACCGACTGACACACAAAAACACAAGGGTAAAACAGTATAACTCCTCTCCTTCTGATGTAAAATAATTACTTAATTTAAATTTCAGATAGTACAGATAGTCCTTTTATGGTTGGAGAGACAGAGCATACAATAGATTGCTCAAGTCCTGTATCAATACATGTAGCATATGAGCAGCAAAAGTTCTTTTGCTTCAAATCTTTAAAGATGTTCTCTAGCAACAACAGCTTTTTCTTTTCCACCTCCAATAACTCCTTTTTGACCTTTAATTTCTCCATCTGAACTTCTAATAGTTGACTTGGCATGTTGACATCTAAAACACATAAAAAATCATCTGAAAAGCAGTTAAAATAGACACTGTTTGTACACTAATTTAAGGATCCAGTAAAATACCTAAAGCAACAGGGTTTATTTGTTTAATACTTATGTCCCTTTACTGCTCATATCTATGATTAACTTAAAAGTCATTCGAAATATTACTTAAAATTCATATGATTAAAAATATTGTTAACCCAAGTAAGGGCCATCACTCTTTTCCTAGTTATGTTGGCCCTGTTGCTGATAAACAGATTCTAAATATAAAGATAAATTGAAAGCTACTTCTGTAAAATATCCACCTGATGTAACAGCTCCCTCCATCATCCTCTTCTTCTTCTTCATTTTTTGGGGGCACTGAACTGGTGAATAAAAACAAGTGATTTAAATTGAAGTTCCTCAAAAAGGAAAAGATAATGAATGTTACTGAATTTTTTTTAGCAAAAATAATGCATTCCTCTTGTAAATATTTCTCTTTTTGAATGAAAAATTTAATACAAAGGCCATCTTTTAAAAAAATGCTTGCTTGCCTATCCCTATTCAGAAAAAAAAAATTGGGTTGGTAGGTAGGTAAGGCTAAAAAAATTAATCCAAGATGCCTAAACTGACAAAATTTGATAAATCTAAGCCAATAAGTACCTGAGATATTCAAAAGTACGTCACAGTGACCTACTTTTTGGTCGACATTCTCCGACAACGCAAGATGCCTCAACTGACAAAGTTTGATGATTCTTAGCCAATAATTGCCTGGGATATTAAATATAGCCATAAAATGTCAAAAGTAGGTCACCGTGACCTACTGTTTTGGTAATCACTCTCCGAAAACAAAATATGCATCGACTCACAAAGTTTGATGATTCTAAGCCAATAAATACCTAAGATACTTAAATATAGCCATAAAATGTCAAAGGTAGGTTATCGTGACCTACATTTTGGTCGACATTTTTCAAAGACCCAAGATGCATCTACTGACCAAGTTTGATGATCGTAGGCCTGATGGTAATCAAAATATACGTTTTAAACAATTAGAAAACAAATGTCAGCAAAATTCAAAAAGTAGGTCAGTGACCTACTTTTTCATAAATATGTTTTAAGGTCCCAAGATGAATCAAAATACAAGATTTCATGATTCTAAACCTCCCAGTGTCTGAAATAATGGGATTTAATGTTTTTAAAAAGATAAGTCATAAAGTTCAAGAAGGAGGTCACAGTGACCTAATATACACGTTTTTATTAATTGTAAATTTAGGTCAACTTTGAAGTGACCTTGAGACCACGCCCTTTTCCCCAGGGTAATTCCCCGTGCAAATTTTAATCTTCGACATATCCTGATCCTTGTATGTAAGTTTGGTGAAAATCTGCCTGGTGGTTATGGAGAAGAAGATTTTTTAGCAACCAGTACTTTTGGTTTTGTTTTCCTGATTATCTCCCCTTGTTTAAGGGTCCCAACCCTTATTTTAGTATAAATGGTAGCCCTTGGGCCAAGGATACCCTGTGACAAATTTGGTACTGATTGGCCAAAGGGTTCTTGAGTTATGGACCATATTCTAAAAAGTTTACGCACACTGCACACCGCACAAATGGCCATAGCATTAGCTCTTTGAGCCTTTGGCTCAGAAGAGCTAAAAATTAGCTAAAAACTGTTAGCTGATCAAGACTCTACATGTAGAAAAATTGAAATCTTCATCAATAAAATGTGATCATACATGTACCTGATGTACTAGATGAATCTGTCATCCTTTTTTTCTTCTGAGGACAGTCAAGCACAGAATCTAAGAAATTTCATTATGATTAAAGTTGCTCAAAAATGAAAGAAGTATTTATGATTTTTCAGAAAAGTAATGCATGTATCTTGGAAAATGAAAATGCACATATATAATGCAACTACACTGTACATTTAGATGTAGTTTTCTTATGTACTGCAGTACAGGCAACGCAGATCCCGTATTTCCCGCGTCCCCGCCGCGGTTTAATCACAACTGCAGTACAGGCACAGGGACTTGCTCCCGGCGTGTAATAATTATTTATTAAAAAAATCATATACCGTAATAATAAAACTACACGTAGTTTTATTATTACGGTATATGATTTTTTTTAATAAGTAATTATTACACGCCGGGAGCAAGTCCCTTTGGTACATGCAACGCGGATCCCGTATTTCCCGCGTCCCCACCGCGGTATAATCACAACGCGGTATTTGGCCAGGTAGACAGGTAAACCGCGTTCCCTCCGCGGGAAATTCATCACTTACCTGTCCCCGCCGCGGTTAAATCATCGATCAATTACTGACAATTAATATCGTAAACAAACGGGAGTTATCTCCCCGAATTGTAATTTGCGAATTTTCCCTGTAACAAAAAAAAAGTGTGTTTATTAATTAATTTTGCTATGAATAGAATTTAAACTAAGAAAAAATAAGTTTTTTTTGTTTCTAAAATTACATATCAATATTTGAAATTGAATAGAAAATTTTATTAAATTGTTACGTCTTTGCAATGGTAAATTATTTTGTGTTATTAAGAATCTATCAAGAAACAAAATTAAATGCTAGAAATTTTAATTAGTTTTTTTTTTTTTGTTAAATCTTCATTTTATATGCAAACTGTAATAAATGTTGAACTCAGACTGTTTAAGTTTCGATAAACGATTTTCAGCATTCATTTGAAAAAAAAAAAAGATGTACATCTTTTTAAAAATGTACATCTTCATATTGTTTATTAATTAATTTCGATTTATCGTATATAAAATGTACAGGCTTTTTCTTAAAGTGTCAAATTACCGGAAAACATCCGATGACGAGCATTTGCAGTTAATGTAGTGGGCACGTGAACTTAAATTTTCTTTATCCAAGATACCAAGAAAAAAACTCTTTTCTTCTTTATTTCTCATCGTATATGTTCTGTCCCCAAATTAAGAAAACTTTTCTTTAATTTACTTCCCTCTTTTATATAAATGTGCAGGCATTTTTCTCAAATTGTCAAATGACCGAAAAGCATTCGATGGCGAGAGTTAACTTTGAGCACGTGAACTTTATACAAGAGATCAAGAAAAAACTGACCATTTTTACAAACTAAACTGTATATAGATTTTTTCAGTAGCCAGATTATGATGAGCGCTTTGTGTATGGTCGACAGGGGATACCGATGTTTTTTCGAGCTCCTTCATGACAACGTTTCCACCTGATTTTAGGGTTCGCCTTCACAATCTTTACCGATTTGGTTTGTTTTTTCAGCCCCATTACTGTTCGTTTTCTCTTTATTTTTTTCTCTATATTTCAATTGCAATCTATATCCATATTTCTGTTTTGATTTCAAATGTTTTCTTGTCATATGTCTTAAGTTTACAAAACTTAATTAAGTGTAACATGTGTTTGTTGGAAATATAAATTTGATTGGAATACCACATGATGAAGATATCTATCTAAAACGTTCTCTAGATCCACGTAACGATAAAAAATTCCTTTGGATGATAAAATCTTGAATCTTAAATTTTAAGTGTGCATTAATAATTAAATTTCATACAAACGTATATTGGCATTTTTTTTAATCTCATAAAAAGCTCATATGCATAAATATCTGCATTGCAATTTAATTTGAAAAAAGTATTTTAAATTATTATTCAAACAATGGTTAATTATTCCTTTTATCTTCCTTTAACAGTGAAAACAGATGGCCGAAAGCATTTAATGTAAATGGACGAAAGATGCATTTTAATATTGTCATTGATAAATAAAAATACAGCAATTGTTAATTAATTTGTGCAAATAAAATACAAATTGAAATGCAATAATTGTAAAATTTATTTGTATCATTAAAGTATCTTGCTTAATCAAAGAAGTCTTTTTTTTACATGCACTTTCATCAAAGTCGAAAGTCGACAATGCCAAATCAAAAACTTATTGTTTTTTCTGTATATATTAACTTTTTGAACGCATGACTCATAGTTGCTATTTTATTGCAGCCCGGAGTACCGGGCTGATCTATACATATAAGTTTAGTGTTGGTATATGGGATTGAGAGGGAGAAGTTATTCAGAATTAAAGGTTATAACCTCCATTTTAAAAAGCCTATCCAATTAAATGTTGGCCAATTATAAAACAGTGAGTTTCAATGAAAAATACCGCATATTTTAAGACATCTGTTACATATGTTGATACACTAACTAGAAAATGACGTTCATTATAATCTAAAGGCCAACTTTTTTCAATGCTAATGGGGGGGGGGGGATAGAGGCCACCCCCGAATGGCTACTCGGAAAAAACAACAAGTAATTATCACACTCAATTAAGGGGCCTCTAAGGGGTACAGGTAGACTTACCTGTATGAATAATCTACTAGAATTCACATAAAATAAAATGGATTTTTAATCCATTTTTTTTTATTTGAGCACTAGTATGAATAAATATTTTGTATACTTTTTCTTTTAAATAAATTATTTTACAAGCACAAAACACATTAAAAACTATAAATTATCTTAAAGTTCTATTGTTTAGCAGCACTGATTTTCACATTATATATTAGATTGCACTGTTTCACTTTCATATCACACATATTTACAATATTTACAACTTATTTAGTCCATCTCCATATGTTTCATCACAACTAAAGGACCATATAAGGGATGTATATATACTGAGCTGTAACTTGTGTTGTTCTTGTATTTACAGCTTCGACTGCATTATTAGGCAAGTTCAGCACATCATTTTCTTTGACACTTATTACGATAGTTTTGCTTATTAAAAAATTCAAAGTGAACTGATATCAGTTATCAGATGCTTCATCAATTAGCTTATATTAACTTAGGAATTCCTTAAAAATTAAAGTGATCTGTTTTTATATTCAATCGTCTATATTTATCTAAAAATTGAAATATAAACTCTGTATGATGATTTAAAAAATGTTTTAATAATTAAAAAATGATAAATAGATGAATTAAATTAGAGAAAACTTTATAGAAATACTTTATTTATCATACATAAATATCTTTATTTTTTTTTAAGAAAAAAATCATTTGTGTTAATTTATTTAAAAGAGTTTGAAAATGTAGCAAAAAAGGGGATAATAATTTGTAAATTCTCAATCAATACTATTAAATAATTTGGAAAAAATAAAATTAAAGGTACAATAAAAATTTCATTTTTTTCTTAAATCTTAATTTTATCTATTTATATTTATTTATCTATATTTTATTCAGTATATTTCGGAAAATAAAAAAACCTCTTAATTAAAATAAAATTGAATGAATATATCTGATTTATAAAATATTGCCTATCCAGGTAAACACAGGTAAGTCTACCTGTACCCCTTAGAGGGCCCCTTAATTGAGTGTGATAATTACTTGTTGTTTTTTCCGAGTAGCCATTCGGGGAACACACCTTTGTCAATGCCAACTTCCCTTTATACCAATTTTTAATTACCTACAATGCTACATTTTCCTTATATCACAAAAAGTTGGTGGGTAGCCAACCAGCCTTTCAATGAACATTTCCTGTAGTATAAGTAATATTGGGCAAAAAAGTGGGGGAGCCCCCCTGCCCTCCCCTCTCCCCCTATTGCTACGTGCCTGCATTAATCATTCATTCATGAAAATTACAAAACAAAACAAAAAGATACTGGCAGACTCGCCGCCATGTGTAAAACGCATCACTCTTTTGAGTCTTTATAATTAAGGGATACAGAATCCAATACCTTAATCGGTGCCCCTTAGAATATCAGGGATATTAAACCATTGTCATTTATGCAATCTTCACATTCTCAAGTAAGGCGTAGAATAAAACAATATACAATGAGAGCATTTTATAAGGTGCATTATTCCCTATATCTATATTTTTTCTAGTCTTAAAGTGAGAGTCATGATAGTTTTTCATATCGCACCTTGCATGAGAGAAATGAAGGGGTGTGAACAATACAAAAATCACAGAAGCATACACGGTGGACAACTTTAAGGAAAATACACTTTATATAGTAACCAACAGTGGTCAAGTCAAGTTCCTCTGATGTTTTCAGAATTTTGGTGTTTGTTCTGTCTCATAACTTTTATTTCTTGCAGTGGATATTGTCAATTATCGTCACATTGTTCATTTAATTTTGTGTAATTTTTATGTTGCTTATTATGGTCAAGGTGAGATTTTATTTTTAATTACATAAATAATAAAATTTGACACAAATGGTGTGAAGGTTCTCTTCTCGACAATGAAGCACCAGTGTCTAAAAGGAACATAATCCTAATTATTTGCCACAGAAGAAGACATTTGAATGCTAAATTAAGTAAAACAAATGTTTATACAAATTGATGTGTAAAAGGTTAAATTATTTTATTATTTTTATCTTGACACGAGTCGCCCGCGTGGCGCAGTGGTTAGAGCGTCTGCTCTAGAGTCGCGAGGTAAGGAGTCAATCCTTACGTCGCGGGATCGAATCCCACTGTGGGACGTGGAGACCGGTCCTTTGGATGAGACCGTTTATTAAATCGAGGTCCCGTGTCGCATTAGGTGCTGGCACGAAAAAGATCCCTCCCTGCTCAATGGCCCTAAGTGCCGAGTATAGGACAAAATTTGCAGCTCTCCACCCATATGAGTGAAAAATTCTCGAGAGGGACGTTAAACAATATACAATCAATCAATCTTAACACGACACACTTAAGGTTTGTTCACGAGTATGATCGCTGAATTTCTTCATAGTTGACTTTTATAATTGCTACATATTTTGAATTTTGATAAAAGATTATGTTTTTAAAAATGTCTATTTTTTAGGAAGCACCATAGCTGGTAATGTTAATATACAGATATTTGGAATTAAATTATCTAAATAGGTCCTACAAACAAAAAGCCAAATTCTTTCAATTGGAACTT